GCAATTTCAAAAGGCCGTGAAAGCTAACACCCTTGTCAAACCGAACCTAAGTTTACTTAACAAAGAATACTCGGGAGACAAATCTAATCCATATGGCCCACCACGCACCTAGCACGGGACCAGAAAATTTGGTCCGGGCAACCCTAAGTTGAAATGAATTCTTTCTTATTCATAATGAAGCTGAAATAAATAATTAAAATACCTCAAAGTATTAAAAAAGCAAAGGGTTAGGTGTTTTGATAATTATATTTTTTATACCTAGTAGAATTATATATGTATTCTTAGATTCATGAAATTCAATTCATTAGGCCACGTGTGCAATAGTTTTAGATGCTAAAAAATAAGTTTTTATCATTTTATTGTTGGTGATACCTAGTTGATGTGGTGTGTATATGTTGTCAGTTTATTGTTGATGATCCTTTCTTTTTTCCTTTTTATTTCTCACTGATACCTCGATAAATATATTATAATCCTTGTTGTTATTGGTATTTCATATTTAGTCCTTTTAATTTTGATTTTTGTATTTTTCTTCATTTACCCTTTTGTTAAAATTTCATTGTTTTTCAATTTAACCCTTGCTTGTAATTTGTATAGATAATGTTTTTCAATTCAGTCCTTCTACTTTAAATTTTTTTTCCTTTGTCCTAACTTTCAATTTTATCCTTTCTTATTTTTGTTTTTTCAACTATAATAATGATTCTAATTTGATCCCTTTTCTTTTGATTTTTTATTGTTTTTCTTTGCCCTTTTATCAAAGCTTTTATAGTTTTCAATTATATGTTTCTAATCAAGTTCACGATTTTTATTTTTTCAATAACAACAATATAATAATAATAATAATAATAATAATAATCAAATTAGTAATGATGATGACAGCAATAAAAATAATAATAAATAAAAAAAATTAGTGATGATGGTAAAAATAATAATAGTTGCGGCGACGACGGTGGCATTTATATCATTGCTATTACTAATAGCGATAGTAATTGTAATAACAATAGTAATTATATTAATAATTATGGTAATAATATTAACAATGGTAATAATTATGGTGATGGTGATAATGATAGTGATGATATTAATAGCTGTGATAATAATATTAATGATAGCAATAATAGTAGCGGCAATAGTAGTAATAGTGACGACGATGACGTACTTACAATAATACCAATAACGATAATAATAGTCATAATAGTAGTTGTAATAATAATTTGTTGAGGTGATAATAGTTATGATGGTAATAATAACTATAATGACAATGGTAATAATAAGAAAAATGATGGTTATGATCCTAGTAGTGGTAATAATAGTAATAATAATAGTAATAATAGTAATAATAATAATAATAATAATAAAACTAATAATAACAATGACAATAATCATGATGCTGATGTCTCATAGGAAATAGTTGTATTGAAAAAGTGGTCTCTTCCAAAACACTGCTTTATTTCGTGGTTGACTATTGGGGTTGCATGCCTCCTATTAATGACCCTTGTGTGTTTCAGTAGTTATTGGTGGTTCTCTTATATTTCAGCTGCAAATTGCATCAATTGTTGGGTTTTTTTTTGGGTGAAATTCTTTTTGGTTGGTTATCTTTAGCACTTGCTGGATCTTGGGTTCCTTAACTAACCAATGTAATACTTTTGATTCTCTCTCTAGGTTGTTGTCTTCCTGTATTTTTTTATGAATGTGAGCATATTTTGTTTTGCTTTTGCTTTTGTATATGTGTATATATAACTTGTCAGCTTCCTGACCTGTTTTGTTTTGATCTATTATATTCGATAAAAAAAAAAAAACGTGATGACAACGACGATAATGACAAGAACAAAAACAATATACAAGGAAGAAGAAGAAGAATAGTAATGATAATAAAAACATTAATAATAGCAGTGGCGATAAGAGTGACAGTGACAATAATAATAACAACAATAATAATGACACTGATGATGATGACTATAATAATAATTGTTGTTAAGTAGTAATAATACTAATACAGCTACTACTACTATTATTAAAGATGATAATAATAAAAATAATAACAACAACTTATTTTAGGGGGATTTTTTTAATTTTCACATTTTTTTTCTTTGTGTGCTATAAGCATATCAATACAAGGGTAAAATATTATTTTACATTAATTAAAAATTATTAAATTTTTAAAAATATAAAGTGCGTACAAGTAACATGGAAATGCGTAAAAGGATTCTGTCATGCTTAGACAGTGCGTGTAAAATCCTATGGTAGTAAAAAATTATCTTTCACCCTGACACTAGATTCCCTATGATGTACTTTTTTTCTAATGATGACACGTTTTTTTAAGATAAATTATCGTCACATCTATTTTTTTTTGTCTTTTTTTTCTCTCCCCTCTCTAAATTCACGCCTGACAAATGTAATTTCAAGGCAATCCCTTTAGTTAGGATATTTAAATATCAATTTTTATTTTTTTTTATTTGTTATTTTTGTCATTGATTCTTTTGTAAATTTTTGTTTTTTTTTTTTAATTTTATTTTTTAATCTAGACCCTTTTTTTCAGGTTTGTTTTTAGTTCTTTTTTGTCCTTCATTTTTCTCTTATCACTTTTATAAATTTTTGATTATTTTCAATTTCATTATTTAATCAAAATATTTAGTTTGTCAATTTTTTTAAAAAAACTTGATCCTCATTTTTTAGGTGATTTCTTATTTTATTTCTTTTGTAAAAATATTTTTTTTTTAATTTAGCCCTTTAATTCAAATTATCCACCCTCTCATTTGTTTTTTTTCTTCAAATTTGATCCTCAAACATGCTATTTTATATTTTTTTTGGGACTGAATGTTTTTTTTTCAATTTTATCATTTAATATATTTTTTTAAAATTTAAGATTCATGGTTTTTCCAGATTTGATACTTCTAATTAAATAATTTATATCACAAGTTTTATAAGCCACACATTGATTTATTTTTTAAAATAGACTTCATGGTTTTCTTTGTTTATCTTTTTATAGAATTATCCTAATTTCATTACATGGTCTATGAATTTAACGAGTTAATTTAGGTAGGCTTGCTTTTTTTTTTCCTTTTTTTTCCTTTTGAATCCTTTTGTGTTATTGATTTTTATCTTCAATATTTAATTTATTGAGAATTGATTTTCATGTTTTTTTCTTTATATTTTGTGCTTTCAATTAAGTGTTAGCATCATTTTTTTTTAACTTATTTTTCTCTGTCTTACATTTTGACATTGATTTTTTTTTTTTAAATTGAGTTTACTCCATTTTCCTTTCCAATCTTAATACTTGATTTACTTAATTTGTAGGTTTGACACAGGTTGATTTGAATAGATTCAAGGTTTTTTAGTTTGTAATTGCTATTTTTTTATTCTTTTATATATTAAGTTTTGTTTTTTTAATTTTATACTTTAACATTTAATTTATCAAAAATTAAACTTCAAGTTTTTTTTTATTTAGTTTTTTTGATTTAGTAGTTGTTTTATCAAATTAATCCAGTTACGGGTTTAATAAATTAACAACAGGTTTAATAAATTAACAATGACTGAGATCTTTTTTTACTTATTTTTTTATCATTCAATGTTTTTTTAAAATAAAAAAAATTCATGTCAGCTTAAAATTGTTTTTTTCTTTTTATCCAACAGGTGACCAAGCACAGGTCACCTAGCATGCACGTGCGCGTGTGTGAATTAAGAGAGAGAGAGAGATGGTCTTATGTAGTTTCAAGTACGAAAGGAGGTTGCTTTGCTATAAAGAAAGGCTATATAATTATTACAAACCGGAAAGTTGTATAAAAATTATGCTAATAGATTTTTAATTATGCTCTAAATGTGCTTAATATCACCTAATCTAGAAGCAAAGAATCCGAGAGCATTAAAAGAAAGCGAAATGACAAAAGAAATGGGCGGAAAACCCTACACTTACTATATACGAGAGAGAGTTAAGTTTGGCAATCAAACAGGGTCATGATTACAGTTATTCTATGAAACAAAACACGGACTGACATTTTTAACTTGCTGCACAAAATCTCAACAATTCCCGTCTGCTTTTGGCTTCATTGTATGTTGTTACTCTCCTTCTTGCCAAGAGAGAACTAGTTCCAGCCGCAGAGGTTGCGAAGGAATTAATTAGCAGGGTTCGGGGTGGCAAAATCTGGAGATTTCTTGCTGAGAGTGTACGGCTCTGCATTCGTCGCTCTGCATGCACAAAAAACTGCCTCAATTCAGGAGCCAGATGATTTAGTTGAGCTAATCATTGCATCAATAATATCACTTCATTGAAATTCAATTTTTCCAATATAGTAAAGGTTGTACCATGGTTTCTACTTTCCCCTTCTTTTTTGATAAATTGTTTCTTTATTATTGATAAATACGCCCCCTCAGACCCAAAGCAAACGAAAAGCAGGCTTTGAAAATTCTGAAGCAAACTCCAAACAAATGCATCTCCAACTCCAGGCCCAAACAACATCTTTAAAACCATTTTCAGTTTTTCGAAATAGCCTGAAGGTATAATTATCGCAAAGACAAAAATACCTAGCCTAGCTAAATTACATGCGTCTTACATCCCCGCAGGTCCTTGCTTTGGCTTACCATCTAAAGTGTATTTGTTAATGATTCTCAAATAGATTTGAGCATTAAGGTCAAAGTGAAATTTAAAACAAGTATCTTTCTTTCTTCTTTGAGTTAGAACTCACCTTTCCTTGCGTTTCTCTAAAAACCGAGCCAGGGATGCTTTTCGAGCCTGAGGGACTGCAGTGACAGAGATTGGGCATTTGATTATATATTGCAGATAAAGATTAAAAAAAAACCTAATTTGTAGACCATGCAATAAACTATCAATGAATGTGCAAAATAATTTAGAAATCTTTTTGTCGGAACATCTTCATGGAGGCAATATATATTCGAACACCACTTTCAAGAGAGAAAAGA